TGTATAATGTGCACCCACATTTTAGTACTGTCCATGTTTAATGTGCATCCTTATTTTTCCCTCAAAAATTTGGGCAAAAAAGTATGCATTATACACAGCAAAATATGGTAAGTTGAATTTTGAAAGAAGACTAGTCTTTCGACAGAGAAATTAGTCAAGGAACTGCCTTCCATGCACAAGTAAGAACTTGAACAAAGGCCTGGAGATGGAGGGCTTGAAAGCCTGTGAGTAACACCATAACTTCCAACAGCCTGGGCAACCCAGGAAGGCATGAAATAGAAGATGAAGCTGGGGAGGAAGCTGGGGAAATGAGGTGGGATGCTGAAGGGAGTGAGACACCAGAGAAGGGAGTTAAGCAGAGGAGTAGCATGATCATATCTGTGTATCAGGAAGATAATTTGGAATAACTGGGGGAGCAGGAGAAACTGTAGGCAGGCAGATGGGCTAAAAGTTGCAGTGACTTAGAAGAGAGGCAATGGGAACCTGAAATGTGTTGCTATTTACCAGATAATTTTGAAAGATAATACAGAGAGAGAATTCTCAGGGTTTGGTAATCAATTGGATGTAGGGGGTGGGAAGGGATTAGTGAATGATATTTTGAAGAGGCTTGTGGGAATGCTGGGAATGTATCAATGTCTATATTTGCCTTATTTTCGAGGACCTAGGTAATATCCATTTCTAGAACAGAAAGAAAGAAAACGAACATCTATTGAGGATTTGCTTGCTTCTGTGATCTTTGGAATGGTCTTGAAAGGCAGGTACTATGCTTGTTTCTACAGTAGTGGAGGGTGAATGACTTACTTGCTCAGGGTCACATAGAAAATAATAGTGACTCACTTGCACAGGGTCATATAGCAAGTAAATGGCACACCTGGTCTGTCAGACTTCCAAGACTATGTTCTATACTTGTAGTATCAGAAACTAGAAACACGGTCCCATAAAGGGCCATAAATAATGTGCCATAAAGGGTTAGAGCCAGAAAAAATAACTTTAAAAAAGAAACTAGAGAAAGAAGGTAGGCATATGTACACACACATACAGATGTCCAGGAGAGAGGAAAAAAGAACAAGAGGTGGGCTTAAATGTCCTTGCTGAGGAAGAAGAAATCTGGAAGAACTATCAATTTGCTATTGAGCCTGGTATTATGAAAACTATAATAATAAAAAGACATGTTCTCCTATTCTCATGGAGCTCATTGAATAAAGGAGACAAATAATATAAGGGCTGCTACCCAACCTGTTTCTAAAAAGTGCTCTGGATTTTCAGAGTTGATGTAGTCTTGGGTTGTCTGGAAAACACTGCAGAGAACCCATCACTTGAGCAATATCTCAAAGGAGGGCTTGTTTGTGGGTAGTCCAGGAAGATCGATCAGGGCATTTCCAATGGAGAAAATAGAGCAGAGGTGAAGTAGAAGGAGAGTACCATTCATGTTCATTTTGTACTACATTTGATCTTAGCCAAAAGGCCGAGAAGTGATCATGTTCATTTTGTGAAGAGATTGCTGGGAGGACAAGCTTCATAGCTGATAAACAGTTAGAGCCAGAGAATGGAGGAGGGCCTTGAATGCACAGGCTAACCCATTGGTGCTTTGTCAAGTGGGTGATGGGACACCGCTGACTAGTTTTGAGGAGCAGAGGGCTGTAATCAAAGATGCTTTTGAAAGACTCTCCTGGGAGCAGGCAGTGGAGTAAATTGGAGAGGGTAGAGAATAGAGGGCAGAGGGCTAGGAAACAGGATATTTAGGTAGATGGTGATGCAAGCCCAGAAAAGAAGAGACAGCTGGAGACCCACCCTCTAGCCCTCAGAGGGGCTCTCCAGGCCAGTGCTTAATTCTAAGGATCATCAATATTTGTATTCCACATCTCCCCAACCACTTTTTAAAAAGATTTTATTTACTTAGTTACTTATTCTAAAAAGATTTTATTTATTTCTTTTTAGAGAGAGGAGAAGGGAGGGGAAAAAAAGAGGGAGGGAAACATTGACCGGTTGCCTGTCATAGTGCACCCACACCAGGGACAGCCCACAACCTGACCAGGAATCGAACTGGTGACCTTTCAGTTTGCAGGATGACACCCAACCCACTAAGCCACATCAGTCAGAGATCCACCAAACACTGTTTGCATTCCTTTCTTCTCACTTCTTCCCTCTTTCTTGTCCCGTTGCCTTTTTTTTTGTCTCCCTTTTCCCTATTTCTTTGCCCACTCCTTCCAGTAGTGCTTGGTAATCAGCCATGACTCTGAATACCATTTAGGAGGGAGAAGCACTGAAAGAGGCTCTGAGCAAGACAACAGGAATGAAGAAAAGACAGTGAGAAAAAGGAGGAAGTAAATTAGGAAGGAAAGAAAGAAGGAAGGGAGGAAGGAAGAAAGAAAGGAAGGGCATGTTTTTCTTTGCATGGAGCATTTACTGTGCACCAGGCTAGAGGATGAGGATACTGATGTTAAAGGAGTTACAGTATTTGTCCAAAGTCACACAGCTAATTGTCTTATCCAGATAGGATGAACTCCGGGACCCACATCCTGTTCACCATGCCATACTGCTCCCCTTCCTGCCTTCCCTGATACTCTCTACTGAGTGTGTTCCTTTCTTTTCTGAAACCTTAATATCACTTTGTTGTGGCTCTTTCTGGCACTAACCACAGTCTGTCCTGCATTGCAGTGACTTGTGTATATGTCCCACAGTAACACCTGAAATGCGTGAAATAGTGGAATGAATGATTGGTTGGTCTTTGTTACTAGATAGTAGGGAGCCTGTACTCAATGCATTGTTGTAAGTACAAGGACAGTGGCACAATGGATAGTGTTTCTGACTATGGATCAGAAGATTCAATGCATCGTTGTAGTCTCAGCATGGAGAGCCAACGTCTTATTATTAGTATTTACTCTATAACTGCTGGACCAACCTGTATATCTTAGGTACCTCTGTGGGCATCACAACTGTTAGATGCTATAACTACCTTGATAACCTCCAAGACACAGGATTCATGTTGGAATTCCTAGCACAATCGCTAAAAGAACAGAAACAAAATGTATAACACCTAAACTAGCAGAGGAAGACAAATAGAATGATAAAGATAATCAATTAAAAAGAAGTCAAGACAGCCCTGGCTGGTGTGGCTTAGTGGATTGAGTGCCAGCCTGCAAGCCAAAAGGTTTCTGGTTCGATTCCCAGTCAGAGCACATGCCTGGGTTGCAGGCCAGGTCCCCAGCTGGGGTCATGTGAAAGGCAACCAATTAATGTATGTCTCATGCATCGATGTTTCTCTCCCTCTCTTTCTCCCTCCCTACCTGTCTGTCTAACATAAATAAATAAGGGGAAAAAAGAAACCCTGACCAGTGTGGCTCGGTGGGTTGGGTATTGTCCTACAAACTGAAAGGTCTGGAATCAAACCCATTACATTCCCAGTCAGGTTCCCCATGGGGGGAGAGCAAAGAGGCAACCAATCGATGTTTCTCTCCCTCTCTCCCTTCCTTCCCCTCTCTGTAAAAATAAAGAAAGTATCTTTTTCAAAAGGATAAACACCAAAGAAAACAAGAAAATATGAAGGACTAGAAACAAATGAATTTACAGAAAAATAGCTTTCTTCTCTTACTATTAGATTCAAGCCAAGGACAGACTGAGAGCTCAGTGTGATTTGACTTCAATAAGGCTGAAGACATCTTCACCTTTTGAGGGTGATGAGCCTCTTTGGCGGTCCAGTGAAGCATATGGACCCTTCTCTGAAGAGTATTTTTTAATGCACAAAATAAAATACAGACTTACAAAGGAAACTCAACATATTAAAACATAGTTATCAAAACAGATGAAAATGTGATATAGTCACATGGGCTTCTTAATGTATGCATTAGAGAAGCAGACCTAATGGTAGCTTTCAGAACTGCAAGAATTTGGAAGTCGTCACAAGCCATAAACAAAATGTCAAGATGCCTGCAGCAACTGGCTGGTGACGGGCACATCGCTGTGATGTCACTGACTGATTCCCAGGTACTGCTAACACGTGTGTGGTTTGTTGCCTACACTGGTCATTTCCATCTGAAATTAGTGAAAATAAAGAGGCACTTTTTTTTTCCATCCAAGTTCAAAGTTGCCCCTGCCCCCGAATTAAAGGTCCTGGTTAAGAACCTCTGCTGGAAGGGGTCATACAGCCATGCCTAGATTGGAATAGGCTACCTACTACTTGCCCCATCCTTCAGGATGACATTTCTCCCCATCCAGTTTCCAAGCTTGCCCCTTAATTAGCTGCTCATAAAACCCTGGTTTCTGGCTGGGTGTCTATTGAACAACTGGCCTTTTCTAAAAATTCTGTCAAATGAATTCCTCAGGCAGCCCTGAGATTTTCCAGGATTCTCTCACCATTGCCTCATACTGGGAAATCACCTTATTAAGTAGCTGATAACACCAACTTGGCAAGCCACACCACCTTTGCCTCAGCCCCTGTGTATGACTGTGAACTAGAAGGAACAGTCCTGAGAAGGCTGGGGTGATCTTTAGACTAGAACAGAGGGCTCTATAGCTCAGAGGTTAGAGCTGGTCTTGAAAACTAGAACAGCCTGCCCTGACCAGCGTGGCTCCTTGGTGGAAGCATTGTGTTGTAACCGAGAAGTCATTGGTTCGATTCGCTAGTCAGGGCACATACCTGGGTTGTGGGCTCTATCCCCCATTGGGGCACGTGCTGAAGGCAACACACTGATGTTTCTTTAAATCTCTCTCCCCCTTCCTGTCTCTCTGGAATTCGAATTAAAAAAAACAACAACAAAAACCAAAATCCAAAACCTAGAACAACCACCGGCTCACTCCTGGCCTTCATGCCCCTCCATTGGGAGGAGAGAAATCCAGTGAACTCAACAATAGCCATTGTCTTGAGTGAGGAAGCACTCACAGCCCTTCCCATAGGGATGGGACTGACCAAATGAGCTTTGGGAGCCCCCCCCCATCCGGAGATTCCTGGCCTCTTTCTTAGCCTGCTTCCTTGTACTCTCTGGCTCCTGGGGCTCACTCACCCATAATTACGTAGAGTGGGATCCACTGCAGAACAGAGAGGGTTTGGAGGCCCTCCTGAAGATCTAGTCGGGAGAGGAAGGCCATGACTGTGGAGCTGTTCTGTTGTGGCAAGAAGCCCAGACAGAAGGCCAGTGCGTCTAAAGCTGAGGTGCTTACAGGTGCTTTGCTTTAATCTCTTATCACTGAATCACTTTAGCTACCGGAAGTTTGAGACACGATCCCAACTTCCCTCCAGCATTCACCGTTTCTCTGCCCCGCCCCAACTTCCTACACACCTCAGGTTTCAGATCCTAGTCTCTAAACTCCCTAATATACATATAGCCTTTCTCCGGAGTCCTCGTCCTCGATTGCAATGAGGCAGAAATGACCTTGGGGTGATTCTAGCTGTGGGGGGGGGGGGTGAGGGGGGCTCCTTGATAAATTACTTCAGGAAAAACAATGACTTAAGCCTGAATTAAGACCTGTGAAAGCAACCAGCTACCTTTCACTGCTTAAGAAAAGGGACCCAATACCACCTTTGTTTCTGCCGTAGTGGCTGATCTCTGCCTCCTCCTGTCTTCTACCGAGAGCCACCTAGTTGACCAGGGCCCTTTTTTGCATGGCTATCTATCCTTCTCAAATGCCTCCTTGTTGCCTCTGTTCCCGGGGGTGCATATCAGCAGCTAGACACCATATGATAGAGTGGGAAGAGCATTGTACCGAGAGCAGACCTGGGTTCCAGTCCTAGCTCCACCACATTTTTGCTATGACAGTTTTAGAAATTGTTCATCTCTGTAGATCTCAGTGTGACCGCTCTTGTTGGGAGGCAGTGTAGTGGTTAGGGGCGTGGCCTTTAGAGCCAGATAGCTGGGGTTCAAATCTCAGCTCTGCCACTTACAAATTGGTGAACCTCTGAGCCTCAGTTTCACCAATCTGTAAAATGGCAATAATAATAGTACCTACTTCCTAGGGTTGTCTGAGGATTAAATCAGTGAATGAATATAAAGTGCTTGGCACAGGGCCTGGCACAGTGGGCATTATGTGTTTTCTGTTGTTATTATTTATTTAGTTCAATTAGTGTTTATTGAATATGTACTAGGTTTCCAGGGTAAGAGACTTGCTTCTGCATACCAGCCTTTGCAAAATTAATGATTGTCCCAAGGTCCCAGACCTTCGGGTTTATTGGTGTTCTATAATTAGCTATTGAGTGACTGCTGTTTGCCAGACACTGTTGTAGGTGCTGAGGGCTCAGTGGGGAAGACAATGGATGTGATTCCTGCCTTCATTGAACTTATGGTCTAGCCGAGGATATAGACATCGAACAAACAAACAAAAAGTCACAAAGAACATCTGCACACTTGAATTTGTGATTAAGTGCCTTAAAGGAAAAGAGCTAATATTCCCAGCATACAGCTTTGAGTATACAAATTGCTCAAAAAGAAAAAAAGACCCTTTTTAAAATATTTTATTTATTAATTATGTATGTATTTATTTTAGAGAGAGAGGAAGGGAGGAAGAGAGGGAGCGAAACAGCAATTGGTTGCCTCTGGCACACCCCCACTGAGGACCTGGCGTGCAACCCAGGCATGTACCCTGCCTGGGAATCAAACCGGTGACCCTTTGGTTCACAGCATGGCATTCAACCCACTAAGCCACACTGGCCAGGGTGGGGAAAATTTTTTTAATGTAATCAAAAGGGTTTCTAGGAAAATAAAATATAAAAATGATATCAAGTGCCCTACAAGTGCAGGAAAATATTGATTCCTTAGCCTTCTCCAGGAAGATTAGCAGAACTCTGCCTTCCTTCCTACCCACCCACCCCCAACTCTAGCTTTCAGTGGAGCTTCCTAACTGAGCTGATTAATACAACTCTTCAGAGTTGTGCTTAGAGAAGGTTTTTCTGCATCTTGCAGGGGTGTGCTTTCATTCTCCAATGTCCCCTAGATGGCCACCTGACACGTCACCCCTTTCTCTTTTTTTAAGATTTTATTTATTTGGCTTTTTTTTTTTTATAGAGAAGGGGAAGGGAAGGAGAAAGAGAGGTAGAGAAACAGTGATTGATTGCCTCTCCTTTGTGCCCTGACTGGGGACCGAACCAAAACCCACGCACGTGCCCTGACCTGGAATCAAACCGTGACCAGCAACTTTTTGATCAGCGGGAGGACGTCCAACACACTGAGGTATACCAGACCGGGTTCCGCTTCCTCATTCTTTACTTTACCCTACTTGGCTGTGGTTCTTAAGCTGCTTCTTGGGGCAACTTGACCATATCCAGAGTGAGTTACACTACTCAGAATTTGCGGGGCAAGAGGGAGAGAGGTAAGAGAGGCAGGCCTGACTCTTGTAACAGAAAGCACAGGTGTCACGAGGGCTGCGTTGTCCAGGATAAACGAGATCCACACTGTTCAGAGCTCTGAGTCTCCTTACAGATCAAGCCTCTATCCCCTTTACTTTCAGATCGGTAAATGGAACAGGCGTAGAAAGGACACAAGGTCACACAGGACACCAGGTGTCGGGAAAGGACAGACCAATGTTCATTTCTGTTTCCCTAATGCATGACTCAGGGCCTGGTAGAGAGTAGGCACTCAAGTAGATGCTTCTGGAACAAAGGAAATAGGTCTGCTCTCCTGGTCCCTCTAGCAAGAGTGACTGGCAGGGTTGGGTCAGATCCCGATTGGCCACCCCTTCCTCTCCCAAACAGAGACCGTGCTGCCTGAGCTGTGGCTCTCTTGAGTGAAATGGCAACTATAAAATACCAGGGAACGTACAAAAGGCAGGAAGAAGAGAAGTAGGCTGCCAGACAAACCCTGAACAGCTGGCACTCATGATTTCTTGATTACAGTCCAACCGACCAAAAAGCAAAAGGTTCACTGCCGCTGAGTCAGCAGTGCCAAAGGAAAGGTGGCCCCAAAGCAGCAAAAGTCTGCCAAGTCCATTCGCAAGCATTTAAGGCTGACACAACTCGAACTTGCAAGAAACTCACAGCCCAGCCTGTGAGGTAGACGCAAGCTCAGATACCTGCATGGGAACCATGAGGTGCACGGGAGACCAGCAGCCGCTAGCCCGAAGTGATCAGGGCGGGCTTGTTGGAGGAAGGGCTGCTGTGGCCAGCAGAAATGGACTAGGCACCAAGAGTGTGCAGGGCAGTCCAAGGAAGACTTTGATCAGTGTGGCAAACCAGAGGGAATGGGGAGTCTGTGATAAGCTGGGAAGCTAAGAACCTTCAAAGGAGCAACAGAAAAACAAAGTAAGGCCCTCACCGATGTGGCTCGGCAGGTTGGGCATCGTCCTGCAAGCCGAAAGGTCGCCGCAGTTCAATTCCAGGTCAGGGCACATGCCTGAGTTGTGGGCCAGGTCTCCATCTGAGGACATGCCGTGCGAGAGGCAACAGAACTTTAAAAAAAATTAAAAAGGAAAAGAAAAACAAAACAAAGAAAGGACAAGAATAGGCCAAGGGGACCAAGGAGCTCAGAAGCAGTGGTGGAAGTGAGGGGAGCCCTGAGAAAGAAGCAGCCCCAGGATTCTTCTTCCCAGATTCAAAGGTTCCCCTTTAACCCTCAGAATGACTCATTTCCAGAAAGCTTCGGGTAGCGGAGGTTTTGCCATAGTGTCTTTTCTTCTGATCTGCCCTCTTCTGACATACTCTTATTTGGTCTGGTGTTGCAACTACAGATCTATTAAAACCATTTCTGGAGAATCTATTTAATGCCAGGTACCAGCCTAAGGTACTATAGAAGAAACATACGCAGTCCCTTCATTCACCAAATATGTCTACTAGAAGCCTGGTATTGTTCTAGGTCGACAACTGTGTGTATGCTCGGTCAGGGGGGCAGGTAGGGAGTGAAAGAAGTGCCTGCATCATGAACACAAGGACTGGGGCCATGAGAGAATTGCAAAGAAGACAGAGGGGAAGGCTAGTAGCTGTGTAACCTTGGACAAGACACTTCCCCTCTCTGAGTCTCGGTTTCCTCATCTGGAAAAAAGGGACTATTGATATTTATTTGCTCTGAGGATGAGTGGTATGGTTTGAAAAGCTCCTTAGGAGGCCCTGGCTGGCATACATAGCTCAGTGGATTGAGCGCGGGCTTCGAACCAAAGTGTCGCAGGTTCGATTCCCAGTCAGGGTACATGCCTGGGTTGCAGGCCACGGCCCCCAGCAACCACACATTGATGTTTCTCTCCCTCTCTTTCTTCCTCCAGTCCCTCTCTAAAAATAAATAAAAAAATAAAATCTTTGAAAAGCTCCGTAAGAGGTATCTGACACCCAGGAGCTGCTTTTAAGGACTCAGTAGACCTGTGGGGAGGTGGTATTTGCAATGGGCTCCAACAGGCAGAGAAATAGGAAATGTAACATTTCCTGTAGTGGCCCAGTGGATACAAACATCTACAAGCTTTGCTTTGGCACAGGGACTGGTTCAGTTTGACTGAAGCCTCAGTTTCGTGGAGGGGAGTGGGGAAGAAGGCCAGAAGTTGGTAAGTGGGGATGTTGCTAGGTATTTTTTTTTTAATTTTTATTTTTTTAAGGATTTTATTTATTTATTTATTTTTAGAGAGAGGGGAAGGGAGGGAAACATCAATGTGCAGTTGCCTCTCACACGCCCCCTTCTGGGGACCTGGCCCACAACCCCTGACTGGGAATCGAACCGGCGACCCTTTGCTTCACAGCCCAGTGCTCAGCCCATTGAGCCACACCAAGCAGGGGGAATATGTTTCTTACAAATCTGTATGTGTACAGGTCAGTGGGTCTAAAATCAGTGAAAGCGGACCAAGGAGTGGTGATTCAAAGAAAGATCTGTAAAGGGTAGGGCACAACTGGGTGGATATTTCAAAGTCTCCTGGAAATCGCTAAATCACTTTTCAGGACAGGCAGGCCCTAGGACATAGTGGCAGGTTGAGGTGACCCGCCATCTCTGTTTGCCAGGGACTGAGGAGTTGCACAGGACACGGGACTTTTGATGGTAAAACCAGGATGGTCTTGGACAAACCGGGATAGCTGGCCTCCTAGTTTGAGCCCTTGTCCCTGTCTCCTGTACTTTGGTCCCCACGCTGCTGCCGGAGGGTCACTGTCACACACAGCTCTTAGCCTCATCCCTGTTCCAAACCCT